GGGGCGGGGTGACGGCCGGGCGGGGTCCCCGAGCGCTCCAGGATATGGGTGTTGACCGCGGGCGCCCCGGACACAAGCAGCAATGCCCGCGGGGTGCAGAAGACCTGGGTCACCCTGGCGCGGACCCCGCGCTCTGTCTGCGCTCCCCACGGCCCCGCCGTCCCCCGAGCGGGAGAAGGCCCGCGCCCTGCGTGCCGCGACCCCCTCTCCGGGTCCCGTGTGCCTTCTCCGCTCGCAGCCTGTCCCTCCAATGCGTGCGCCCCGGGGTGCGGCAGGAGCATGCCTTCTTTTTCTCCCCGGAGATGCGTGTAAAGGGGGTGCAGCCGCTTTTTGAAAAATAGCCTGGCAGTTCCTCGTTACCTCGGTTAAAGAAACGTCTAAGCCGCGTCTCAACGCTTCCACGTTTAGGCGCACATTCTCGCCTGGTTACTCCAATGTGAGGAATGCAGAGTCTCAGGTCCTGCCCCGATCGATTGCATGGAAGCGCGCCTGCTAACAAGGTCCCCAGTTAAGAAACGCTGCCCTGGAGAAACTCGTGCACAGGCGAAGAACGTGCACAGCAGCCGGCCCGGGTGCCTCGGGAGGCTGAGCGCGGCCCAAGCGCCCAAAGGTCACCGGCACCGCGGGTTCGGTTCCCGGCCAGGCGCATTCCCGGGTGGCGGCCGGGTCCCCGGCAGGGGGCGTGCAAGAGGCAGCCCACCCGTGTTTCTCTCTCGCATCTTTCGATATTTCTCGCTACCTCTCCCTTCCTCTGTCCCTAAAATCCATCCAAATATATTTAGGGGGAAATTTGAGGCTCACGCATGTGTCAGTGCTTGTCTTCGTTAAGGACGAATAATATTACACCGTATGGATGGACCGCATTTTGTTGATCCGGTCGCCTGTTGAGGGAAATTTGGGGTGTTTCTAGTTTGGGGCTCTTAGGAACAATGCTGTTGACGATCACTCTTGGACTGGCCTTTGTGTAGACATGCTCTCATTTTCTTGGGCAGACACCTAGGAGTGGAAGTGCTGGGTCACAATCATTTTTATGAATTTAAAAGATGAGAAATGGGTTCTTCGTTTCTTTTGCGTGAAAGGATTAACGAGTGAGTAGGTGGCAAGTCTCTTGATTTTGGAAGGAAAGATAGGGAAATATAATACCTAATTTGGAAGCAGTAATCCAAAGAAGATAAAAGAAAGGAGATAAACTAGATATTTTCTTAGGAGGAGGCAGATAGAGCTAAAGGGAACATTGAGAGGGAAATAGGTGGTAGAGGGACCCAAGGAAGAAAAATAATTCACTTCAAAGGTACAGCTTCTTCATCTTTTTATATAAACACTTGCATGCAGTATTAATAAATATATTAAAGTGCTTATCAAATGTTTTGTGAGTGGGAAAGTAAAAAAAAAAAAGTTTTCACTTTCCCAGATTTTCTTATAATGATTTAGATTTATGGCTTACAGTAGTATGTGCGTGTGAAATACACCGAAAGGTAAATAAGGAAAAAAAAAAAAAAAAGGGGGAGTTTGGATAATATTTGTGAAATACCTGAGATGTCCTTTCTCAGCCACTAATCCTCGCAGCGGAGGATTTACAATGTTCTCTTTGTTCCAGTTTTCTTCTCTGCGGCTCTTTGGACAACTGAGCAGATTTTCATTCTCGAAAAGAGGCAAGAACAGACACATGTCATCCAGAAAATAGGCTATATGTAAGCTCTGATCTTATCTTTACTGGTTCTAAGTTTGACATTTCCCAAAAGGCAAATCATTTGTCTCTGACATACAGTGCATGTGCTGGGCGGCTGCAGGTGACAACGCTCTCTAAGGAAAGAACATGTTAGTAACATGATTATTTTAGACATCAGGGTAACCTTGTCCATCTTCTATGCAAAAAAAAAAAAAGAAAAAAAAAGAAAGAAAGAAAAAAGAGGAAAAGCCAGTTCAAATAGTCCAGAATACTCCACGGGAGTAAGCAGGGCCGTTTCGGTACAGACTTGTGACTCCATCGGGGGTGCGGGGTGGTCCAGCGGCTGCAGACCAGCTGAGCGCAGCAGGTGTTTCCTACGCACCCTCGGGGCTGACGTCACGGGACGCTCTCCAGGTCGGAGCCTCTCCTTTGTGTCCCCCTAACACTCTTTCCCCTCAATTGCACGGACTACAGAGACGCCCGTGGGCGCGCCCGTCCGACCTTGTCCCCGAAACTGAACGTGGGCTGCTCGGCTCCCACTTGTTCCCGCTGCTCCAGCTCTTAGCCTCCGGGCGGGGCAGCCCGCGCGGTGGGGGGGG